AGAGGAAAGGTAGTGAGAAGAACCAAGGAAACAAAGGCACTGAGAAGCCTCATGGCTGCCCCATGGCCTGCTGTTCCTCCAGAACCAGGAATGCTGCGAGAAGAACAGCCAGCACCCAGAAACCTGACTGGCCTCGATGCTTATCCAGGCACAGAGGGAGACGTGGGCCTGGAACGCTAACAGTCCTCAGAGCAGAGAGATGGAGAGCTCTCTCGCTCTCTCTCACGCACACGCACACACACACTATCCTGTCCCCCACTGAAACTGGCCTGGCACCAGCCAAAGGACCCAGGAAGGGGGGGGGGTGAGAGAGAGAGCGAGAGAGAGCTGCCCCTTTACCTGTCAGGCCGGCCTGCTTGACTTTGAATGAGGTGGTGCAGCAAACAGAGCAGAAGAGGCTCAACTTGCCGTTCCGGTCTTTGTGGGACATCATGTCGAAGTTCTTGCAAAGGGTCTTGCACCACATGCACTGGTAGACCCGAGTGTTTTTCTGCAGAGACAAGGCGGAGGGCCACCTGCTTTTCAGCCGGGGATGCCAGATCAACACCCACAGGGCAGCTGCAAACCTCCCGGGAACGTTCCCATTTTGGTTTCAGAACCCTAGAATCCCCCCCATGCTCTCCCCCCCACCCGCTCCCTCCCCGTCCGCCGCAGGCTCGCCTTCTGCCAACGCCTCACCTTCTTGTAGTTGTTGAGGCAGGTGGTGTTGCAGAAGCGCTTCTGCTGGCCCTCGTGGAAGAGGTACTCCAGCGGCAGCCCCTTGTTGTACAGGTAGAGACCGCACTGGTCGCAACAGTTGGTCTTCAGCCCCTTGGTGGCCCGGAACTTGGTGAAACAGGCGTCGCTGCAGAGCCGGTGGACCACGTTCCCGTTGCTGACCTCGTGCTGGATCTGGGGGGCAGAGCCAAGGGGTCAGACTGCCCCCCAAGAAGGAGGAGCCCTCCTCCCACCTCAAGCAATGCTGCCCACCCTCCCTGAAGAATGCAGGGTTGGGCTTCCAGAGGGCAACCCCCACCCCAGATGCTGCCCCCTCTCCGTGCATAGAAGCTACCTCTACAAACAGCAGGCCTTTTGCTTCTGTCACGGTGGGAATCGAGTTCTCGGACAGCGACGGGCAGGAGCTTAGAAGGGAATCAGGATCAACCCCTAGCCTCTCTCTCCTTCCCCAAGCCTGACCCTCTGGACTTTTTTCTTTGGAAAGGGGCCTCTTTCAGAGGCTAAACCTAGGAAAACCCTTCGCAGGCCAATGAGCTATTCATTCCCCCATCAACAGCCTTTCCCAGAGGCACTCTTGCAAGCTGTTATGAAAGCTGTGGGATATTGGTGGGGAGTCTCCTCTTCCCCCCCCCCACTTCTGCCTTTGAGAGTCCACAGGCTCACCTCTCCAGCTTTGTAGCACACGCTGCAGCGGATTGTGTCTGTGGCCTCTGCGGCCTGCGGGGCCGGCTTCTGTTGCTGGGCTTCGTAGAGCGAGAGGCAGGCGGACGAGCAGAATTCGTGGAAAGAGCTGCCCGAGCCCACTTGGGCCACCACGGAGTCCTTGGTGTTCCAGATCTCCCTGCAGAGGGCAGGAAGGGGCTGCTCAGACCGGAGCTGGCCAGGAGGGGGCTTCTGCCCCTGCCCCAGAAGGGAGGCCGCAGAAGCTGGGGGTGACGGGGGAAGGCGGAGGCGGGGGGGAGCCACAAAGGGGGGAGGTGGGGGCAGGCGCGGCAGCAGAGGGGAGCTGGCTCCCCCCAGAGCAACCAGGCACGGGGACAGATAAAAAAAGGGCAGAAGGGAGGGAGGCCAGCCGGCCAGGGCGCCAGCCCCCCCCCACCCGAACACCTACTTTTTGCAAAAGGTGCAGGTCTTCTTGCTGAGCGGCCTCTTGGAGTAAGTGGTGAGGCAAGAGCTGGAGCAGAAGAGCTGGGGGAGCCCCTTGCGCTGGTAGGCGGTCTGGCCCTTCTGCAGGGGGGTCCGGCAGTTGGCACACGTCATCTTGGCGACGGTGGAGCGGGCGGCTCGTTGCGCCATCTGGTTGCGCAGAGACATGCGGGTCGTGCGGCGGGGCGTGCGGGAAGGAACAAAGTCCTCGTCGTTGGGGTCATCCACCATCGCATCGGAATCCTCATCAGAGACAGGAACTGGGAGAGGCAAGAGACAATAAGCACCGGGCACAGGGAAGCACAGAGGCAGGAAAGCCGGGTGGGCTACGGGTGGGGTGGTGCAGCCAAGCGGAGAGGGCTGTGGCTCAAGAAGAGAGACTCCACGCCTTCACTCCCTTCTTACTAGGTTTTTACTCATCTTCATCATCTCAGGAAGGGACCCTCTGGATCATCCAATCCAGCCTGTTAAGGAGGCGCAGTGGGGAACCGAACTCTTAACCTCGGGCTCTGCAGCCAAATACCTAAAACCCTGAGCTGTCCAGCAGTTACGCCAGGCTTCCACGAAAAATCTCAGGGAGAGCATGCACAATGTGGAGTGTTTTAGGAAAAAAAACAAGGAACATCTCAGAAATATACGAGAGAGAGCATCGTTTGTACACAGAGGCTTCAAGGTTCCATCCCTGGCAACAGCATCCTCAATTAAAGTGATCCGGGAGCAGTGATGTAAAAAAGAGCCTACTTGAGGCCTCAGAGAAGCATAAGGCCAGGTATGGCAGGTACGGTGGGGGTTCTGGGTGACTCTTTGGTCTGATGGAGCGTCACGAAGTCTCCTACCTCATGGCCACCGGTGAACCCCTCTCACTCCCAGTGGGCCATTTCCCCCACTGGACTGACAACCTGCCAGCCGAGGCAGACAGGACGTTCCTTCCTACTGGGTCCATCTGTGTCGGTGACCAACAGTGCTTGGCCACAACTGTGGCTCTCCAGGGGTTCGAGTGGGATTCCTTCCTAGCTCAACCGGCACTGCACGATCCTGGACACTTCCTGGTCTCCCAACGTTGCTTAGCTTCTGAAACCTGATGAGATCAGGAGCATTCAGGGCGGTGAAGCAGGACACAGCAAGACCACTTACTGCTCTCTGAGGAGTTCACGATCTCTGGCCGGTTCACCTCTGCTCTCCTGGCCCGCTCGCTCCTCTTCGGCTCCTAGAAGACACCAAGGATTCATCACGGCTACAGCCTGGGGAGGGCCTGACTCTGTTCTTGTTTACTCCAAGCCTAAAAAGGCCAAGGACGATACAAGGCAGGCACACTCGGGGGAAGCCCTGCCTGTGTGTGGTTGTCCACACACACTGACGCATAAGAAGAATAGAGAGAAAAGGAAAAGGGGTGGAAGGGACACAAAGCAGAGGACTTCAAGCCTGAGCCCTGGGGGGGGTTGTTTCTCTTCCTTTTCTAAAAGAAGGCAAGGCACCCAACGGGTTGAACGGTTGGCAAGGATGTTAACAGAGAGACATCTCAATCAACGCGCTCCCCTCACCCGCTGCCTTACCTTTACCACCGGCTGCTCGTTCCCCTTGGCGTCAGGGCCTTCCCCTACAAAACAAGCACAAAAGAGACCCAACAGCTGACTGTGGCGCTCTCGAAAGGACCGGGAACGGGACAGGTCCGTTCTGTGTCGTAAAACCCTAGCCAGGAACTGGGCAAAAGAAAAGGGCTGCTCCAAAGCCACCAGCGAACCAATGGCATGCACAGGCCACTGGACATCCAGGGCGGATGTGGCTGGGCCGGAAAAGTGTCTTCACAAAAAAGCAGGGCCTTCAGTGAGCCCCGTGGTCTCCCTTGTTCGGGCTGGGGAAGGAGCCCTAGAAGGAAGCCTCGGGAGGAAACGGGGAAGAGGCTGGCTCTGCAGACCGAGCGAGAGGGTGAGCTGGTCACAAAGACTACCTGGGAGGAAGGTGCCCTGCCACCGCCAATGGGTGCACAAACGGAGAGGAGGTGGACCCCTTCCCCCCCCCGTTCACTCTCCCTCTCTCAGCCCCTCGGAGGGGAGGGAGGGCCTCTGGCTCTGCCTACCCACCTGGAACGGGGGCTGGTGGCTCAGTCTCTTGTGCTTTAGACTTGGCCGGCTCCTTCGAAAGGGAGTCGGAGCCCTCCTTCTCGGCCTCCGCGGGACTCCCCGTCCCCGGCGTGGCACTGGGAATGCTATTGCAGGCCGCCTCGTTCCCTTCCTCCGAGGATGCCGCCTCTTCGTCCTTCCGCACTGGGGAGCTCTTCCTGGGAGATTTCAAGCGAACTTTCTTAGCTGGCCGCTGGCCTGTTGGTGAACTGCTGGGCGAGGCCGCCGCCGCTGCTGCCGCCGCTTCTTGCAAAGGGGGCGTGCTGCTCACCTCCACCACGTCTGGGGACTCCACCACGTGGCTGTCCGGGAGGGAGGCTGTGCTCGGGGCCCCGTCCTCTTTAGGGCCCCCAGAGTCTGTTTTTGGTGCACTTTCCTCCGCCCACGTTTCCGGCACAAGAGCTTCTGTTCCGGATGCAGCTGGGTCCCCAGGCCCAGCCTCCGGGTCCTCAGAACCATGGGCCTGGTACAGGCTATCCACGTTCTCAGCCTTCTCCAAAATCACCACATCCTCCTCTTTGTCCACGTGCTCCAGGAGGCTGGGCTTCTCCGAAACATCCAGGGCGCCAGGCTTGTCCAGGGCCAGGCTGTCAGGCTTCCTTAGCTCGTCGGCTTTCGCCAAGGCGAGATCCACGTCTCCCTCCGAAGGGGCTCTCTTGGGCTCTTCCCACTCCATCTCTTGGCTCGGGAGAGCTGAGCCTTGTGGGATCGATGCTGTCTGGGAGGCCAGAAGATCCTCACCAAACTCCATCTCTGCAGGGAGATCACCAATCAGGGGCTTATCAGGCAGAGACAGAGGCCCCAAGGAGCCAGGAAATTCACTGGAATCCATTCAGAAAACGGCCAATAACTAGGAACAAAAGGAGGGAAAGAGAAAACCGTGTGAGCACACGAACTCCCTTGAGGGCAGAAGCAGGCGTGGGGCGCCTTGTTGTCCCCTCAACGCTTCTGGACGGTAGCTCCTGTGAATTCCTCATGGTTTCCAACAAGGGCTGAGCCTGGTGGGAGTTGTAAGCCAACACTACCTTGTGGGCCACTCCGTTTCCTGATTGTGATAAAGGTCTATTGCTTCTCTGAAGAGTCAGATCAGCAAATAATATAACTTTAATAAACAAGGCTAAACCGAATGGGAACCTTAAGAACCAGCTGAGAGAGATCTTCGAAAACACACACACACACACAATGCATCAGAAGTGAACTAAGTGTCAAATCTCTGACTTGTCCTGGACCTAAGATAAAACTGATTCCCTTATGACAAAAACCGGTAACCAATTTAAAAGAATAAGAAGAATTTTTTTAAAAAAATAGACTCTCAAGAGGTGCTTTGGGGGATTCTGAGAACTGGAATGACCACGGCCCTCCTAGCCAGCCTGGAGATTCTGAGATTACAAAGATCTCTGGCCATCTGTACCAACTCAGTGCTTTTATACTTGCGCAAACCCATTTCAGGAGCCAAAACACTGCAAAAAGAACACACGAAAGATAGTTTAAAATAAATCAATCAATAAAAACCCCGCTCTGGAACTTAAAAGAGTCTGAAACACACAAGCAAGAACTCTGAGAATCTTCTCACATTTCCCCCCATGTTTTGCCACTGTTTTTGGCCCTGCCTGCTGAAATGATAAGCAGAAATGGCCATCCCACACGAGCTTGACCCATCTTCCTCCCCTTTGGCAACCCATTTTTAAAGACTGGGGGTGGCCCTTCAGAGGTCTTTAGTCTGAAACTCTCACCAGCTTTATCCAGCGTAGCCAAGGGTGAGGGGCGGTGGGAGTTCGTCCAGTCCTGCTACCTTCGAACAGCCGAACGCTCCTTGCTTGTCTGGGGCACAAAGCAAGGCTTAGCCTCACTCAAGCAGTGCATCCCCTCCCTCTCTACCCCCCCATGCTTTCCCACATCAGTACCTACAAGCAGGCATCCCAGTATTGAAGGACCACCATCTCTTCTCCCAAATCCCAACCTGCCTCATTACAAATCACTCAGTTCCTCATGGAGACCTGCAGGCCCATCTATGTTCAAAGATCCGTCTCCCTGCTTTGAGCATGTGTTTGTAGAGGCCTTTTTCCTGATCAAAGAGTCTGAAAAATTACTCTCTTTTTGGCCTACAGTGTTCCAGATCTAGCAGCCAACATGTGGATTTCTGTTGAACCTGTGGTTCTGCTGGCTTGGTCTTGACCCTGCAGTTCTAGACCGAAAAAGGAACTAACCGCCAGCCGTTTCTTGCTACCCTCTAGAGCCCCGACCAGCTTCCCTGCTTGCAGATCTCCCCTCAACACGGCTGGTCCCACCTATCACCAGCTTCTTCTGCCTGCTCTCTTCTCTTGTCCAACAGACCTCAATTTGCCAGACGGTAGGAACCACTGCCCCCCCCATCTAAGCGTCAGAGGAGATGTGGCCTGGCCCATCCCAGAATGAGCAAAGAGTTGACAAGATGGCCTGCAAGACTCCTTCCAGTGGACCCAACCAAGAAGCTTCTCCTCATTGATTAGTGACTGCCAGGACTCTCCGCCCGGTGCAAGGCAATCCCAGGCCTGCTTCTCTGCAGATCCCTCTCCCTTCTCCCCGCACCTGGCTCCAACCACTGCGACACCTGGATGAGGTTCTCCCTCCTTTCTCCTTTCCACAGCCCAGAAGGATTACCTTTCCTATGGGGCACCCACCCACCATCACCCTTCTGTCCAGTTTAGGGAAGAGTTCCAGGGGAAGTCTGGACTGGCACCCCCCCCCCAAAAAAAAGCTCCTCTCCATGCAACAAGTCCCTTCAGGATCCTTCCACCCCAATGGCAAGGCAGGCCCGCTCCCCAGGGGAGACCCGGGCCCCTTTTCCTCAAGCCCTTGCAGGCTCCTTCTTTCCCCCCAGGGCAGACC